CTGACTAAATACTTTTTTGCCCCACTGTATCTGATGAAGTGACTCTCAGTGCGTACGTTACTGCTGCCTTGGATATGAATATATCCCAACATGTGAGTAGACTCAAAGAATATCGAGCTATTTAAACAAAAACATAGAGTTAGTCCTACTGAGCCATGGAGTTAGGCTCAGTCAGCAGTCTCAGTGCCTTATTTTACTGTCCCCCCTTCCCCTCTGTATTCTTTTTCCCTTTCTTTCTTTTTCTTTCTCCCTTTCAGTATAATTATCTGTCCAATTTGTAACAACTTAAAATAAAATAAAATAAACAAACAATGATAATATAGATTAATCAAGTGGAACAATATAGCATTGGCATTTTTTCTCCAAAAAAAAGCAGCAGTCCCTACAGATAAGCTGGTCTCACTAACAGCCAGGATCACCAGATGACACGGCTCACCTTTGCTATTTCTTTTGGCATTTTTATATGGAGCATGCATCAAGCCATTTAAGTTTCACAGTTCCTCTGCAAGTCATTCGGTGCACAGCTGCTGACTTATTGCAGGTGCTTCGGTTGGCTCCATCGAAAACAATTTTCTGTATGTCATTCCACCCATTCCCATTTTTCCCATGTACTCTCTAAACTGTCCTGTCAAAATAAAGGCTGAAATGCCATTGATGACACGTTTTTTTAAAACTTCCATAAATTTTAGCCACAATATTTCCAATGGATTCATATCAAAAACAAGCACTTGTCAAACAATTCGGGGTCTGAGTGTGCCGTGATGTGTTGACCTGTGGAACCAGCACCCAGTCTGGATCAGCTCTCTGTCTTAAAAGTCCTAATCTCTGATCTTATGGGTTTTACTCAGGAAGCAGTGAAGAACTTGGGTGGAGTGTAATCGGTGAGGAGACTCTCTCAGTTCTAACTGCCTCCATCCAAATATCTACCCTGCGTGTCTCTAATAAAAACAGGCGACCTGAGCAGCCTTGCAGGCCTGGTGTTCATTGGCCACTTCTAGACCAGTGCACTTGGTATAACTTCCCCCTAGACCAGTGCACTTGGTATAACTTCCCCCTAGACCAAGTGCACTTGGTATAACTTCCCTCAGCTGGGATAACCACATTTACTCGGGGCCTTCTTGATGTTCTGTTCCTCTGCTTCCCTGGCCGCTGTGTCAGTGGGGATGGTGTTCGCTTTGTGTTGTAGCGTCCTGATGACACCCAGTTTGTGCTCCAGTGGATGATAAGAGTCAAACCTTAAATACTGATCCGTATGCGTAGGTTTACGGTATACATCAGCTTTTAGATGTCCCCCATTACTGATGGAAATCTCTCAGTCTAAGAAGGCTAACCTGCCACTTTTCATATCCTCCCTGGTGAATTTGATGTGTCGGTCCATCGAGGTAATGTGATCCGTGAAATGTGGTACATCCTGAGATTTGATTTTCACCCAGGTGTCATCCACATACCTGAACTCTCACCAGCAAGTACCTTGTACAGGTTGGGTGGTGATAAGTGGTTTTTTTTTTTATATCTTTTTGCTTGATCTCTACTTTCCTGTAATTGATTTGTTTTACGACAGCTCTCACTCTGTATTATCACGCTGATGTTTTGAGTCACTAAATCAGTAATACTACCTCCTTTTGTTCTCATACTGGGTTTAATGGAAGAAGATTTCTGTTTGTGCACGTCCATTAATTTCTTTACCTGAAGTGTTTTCTTTTGATCTTTTAAAGGATCCTCTGATGAACAAGAGCCTGGCTTGTCTCAAGGAGTCTATCAGTGACATGAGCAACACCTACACTACAGCTCTGCTCGCCTCTGTGTTCACCCTGGCAGGAGACGTGGAGACCCGCGCTCACCTTCTGCAGCACTTAGACACAGTTGCAGTGAGGGAAGGTGAGTCATCGTTTAGCGGGACATCATTCAGGCTTTATTAGCATCACTGTGACTGTTATTGTGTGTGTTTGTAGGAGGTTTCCTCTGCTGGTCTCAGACAGCAGCAGAAACATCAGCCTCCCTGTCAGTGGAGATCAGTTCTTATGTGCTGTTGGCCAAACTCAGCGCCTCCCCGACTGCTGAGGATCTGGGATATGCCTCTGGTATTATCAGGTGGCTGACTGGGCAGCAGAGCTATTACGGAGGCTTCTCCTCCACTCAGGTACTACACCACCCGAACAGCATGAAGCTCATCTTTGAGTTCATATACAGTCTTGGACCAAATCAGAAGAAATAATCCTGAAGTTTTCATGTTGTTGCTGTGCTTTTCTCTCAGATATGCAGACTTGTTTTAGCCAGGCAGGATGTTTTTATTCTTTATTTACAAGATGAAATTGACTTTGGTCTAAAAATGTGTTGTTTTAACAGAATAGCCTTCTATACACCAACTACACGTAACAGCCTGTAAATAACAGCTCAGCTGCAGTCTGTAAGTTTATACCTCTGATTTCTCTGCTTTGTTTCTCTGAGATCATCTCTGTTAAACATATTTAACCTGTTTAACCTTTATTTAACCAGGAAGTGAAGGTTAGAAACTCTTGAGATTAAGGATCTCTTTTGTGAGAGTATCTTTAAGTGACACAGGCAGTTTTACCTTAATGTCTATTACACTCAACACTGTAATATGGAGTCCTACAAATGAGAGCTGCTGTTTGTGTTAACCAAAATTAATCCATCCTCCACACAGTGGAGGCTCTTGAGGCTCTCTGCTCCACTCTGGTGTTCAGTCCTGAAGGTTGGAGCACAGGGACAGTTCAGGCTGACATTTGTCAGCTGACATTTGATGTCAATCAGGGCAACAAACTGCTCTACCAGGAGGAGGCGCTGCAGGACGTGTCAGGAAAATACAGGCTGGAGGTGAAGGGCACTGCATGTGCTTCAGTGCAGCTCAGTGACAACATCATGTGACAAGGTCCTGGTTGGTGTCAAACAAAGGCTTTCTTTGTTTCTTTGTACTTATAAAATGGTAAAGAAGATTAGCATTTTCACATGTAATAAATGTGTTTTCATTCAATTCAATTCAGTTTTATTTATATAGCGCCAAATCACAACAACAGTCGCCTCAAGGCGTTTTATATTGTACAGCAGATCATACAATAATAGATACAGAGAAAAACCCAACAATCATATGACCCCCTATGA